CACTCTTTCTTTTCGATCTGTCCTTAGATTTCTTGCTAGACGATCTCGATAATTCTGAAGAGGCCTCAGGTGGAACGGATCGTGCAGGAGAGTCGTAACGATCACTGTCGCGCTTCGACTTCTTCTTGGACTTTGGCTGGGCCCATTCATCTTCTTCGTTCTGCAGGTCATCGAATGCGTCAACAGGAACAGATACTTTTCGTCCATCTCGTGACGCTTCAGGCGCAGAAGCTTCTTCGACATCGTCAAAGTTTATTGACTCCCTCTTCGACTTTTTCTTCGACTTCTTGCTCGGCTCAGCGTAGCTCTCTGGCTCTTCTACAAACCCTCGGGAAGTTGAAGGCTCTGCAATAGGCATAATATCTTCAGCAAGGCTGCTCTGACGTTTTGCCTCCTGGATGCGCTTCTTCTCTTTCTTGCTTAACGTGGGCTCAAAATAGTTGTCTGGTTCCTCTGCCTTTGTTGGTGGTGTTTCCTCGAAAATTGCCATATCGTCACTTTGTCTCTTTGCAGCCTTGTCGCGCTTCTTCTGCTCTTTCTTGCTCAACTTAGGAGCCGAGTCATCGCGGTCAGGCGAAACACTGGGCCAATCTTGAGGAGTGCTGGCCACTTCACCCATTACAAAACCTTGAGAAGATCCGATTTCCGATACATTAGTTGGTATTGCGCCAAGATCCGAGACTGTTTCCGCATAGGGAGTTCGATATACTCCAGGCTCGTTAGATCCAGGAGGAGAGTCACGTCTTCGGAATGTTGGATCTTCAATTACGATATTGGGATCAAACCCCGTGTCCTGCAACCCTGCAGCAACTGTTGCAGTAAAGTCCAAGTCATCATCAAAAGCTCCAGGAACATGAGATGAATCCCCTTTAGTGGGCTTTGGGCCTGCAGAAGGAGGACTTCGTCTTCGCGGAGGACTTTCTGGTTCGACAACCACACCTCGATATTCGTAAGGATTGCCTTGCTTCTTCTCATTCTCTTCAGATGTAGACTTCTTGGAAGTCTCACTTGAGCTTGCAGCCGTAGCGCCCGCACCAGCTCCCACAATACCGGCAGCGATTGCGCCCCATCCACCGAATTTAGACATAGTGGATTGCTTAGACTCTGGTAGATCCTCCAGGGCTTTGACTTGGGAGTTTGAGATGAAATCTTCTTTATGGTCGGAAGGACTTTCTACCTCGAAGTGCTTTGTCTCATTTTGACCCCAGGTAACTCCTTTAGAGGTTGGAGAGGAAACGACGTCTGATGCAGATGAACGAACTTGCTCTTCTCGGTCCTTAGCCTTGTTCGAGCGTGGTGGTTCAGACCAAGCGGTTTCTGAGCGAGAAGATTCGTCACGATCTCTAGATTTAGAGGATCGAGAAATCTCTGAACTAGAAGTCTTTTCGCGGTCTTTTGATTTAGAGGATCGAGAAACCTCTGAACTAGAAGTCTTTTCGCGGTCTTTTGATTTAGACGAACGAGCTGGTTCTGACCGAGCAGTTTCAGAACGGGTTGTATCCTCGCGGTCTTTTGATTTGGAAGAGCGAGCTGGTTCTGACCACGCACTTTCAGAGCGAGTTGTATCTTCACGATCTCTAGATTTAGATGATCTTCCAGTCTCAGAACGAGAACTCTCATCGCGATCTCTGGACTTGGATGAACGCGCAGGCTCAGATCGGGCGGTTTCGGAACGATTCAAGTCGTTCCTGTCTTTAGATTTGGATGATCGAGAGGTTTCTGAGCGAGCAGCCTGCTTTTCGGGAAGAGGAGATGGGGTTGGCGTAGGATGGACAAGATTTAGTAGTGGTCGAGGTTTGGTGGCATCGGGATCTCGTTTCAAGTAGCTTACTTCGGAATTTGAGCGGTCTTGATTGATGCTTGGAATGCTGAAATGCCTCAAGAGTCTGGGATCCTCAATCTCATAGTCCGGTCGGAAATCGGCGTTTGGTGCATCATATGGCCCCTTTTTCTTATGATCTTCCATACCAGGGGGGGTGACGATTCGAATTATTTCTGGCTCTTCCTGTTCGTCGTACTTTTTCACCACAGAGGGATCAGGGGATGCAGAACGTGACCGAATGACTTGTGACGCGATCTTCCGAGCCATGACAATCTCGCGGTAGGCTCTATCGGCTTCTTCTTGGATGGGATCACGTTCTGGTTCTCTGCCTCGAGGTTTGGTGTCTTGATTGCGATCGTCGTAGTCACTTCGTCCGCTCCGTCTCTCGTCTCTCCGTTTGTCAGACCTCGATGTCCGGGAACTCTCAGAAGCAAGGGCTCCGACGGCTCCGACAGCGGCTCCAATAGCAGCAGCAGAAATTGGAGCTGTCGAGTGCTCTGTTTCTTGATAGATAGACTCTGCATTCTGGAAAGTGCGGTCACGAGAGTCTCTCTGGCGCTGTTCTTTCTCGTCCCACGGGTATTCGTTCCGAGAATCAGGCTTGTAGTCAGATGGTAGGTCCTTGATCGATGAGCTTCGCTTACGAGTAAAATCTGGCTCTCTCTCCACGGTGACAACGGTAGGTACTGACTCAATTCGGCGATGCCCGAGTGAAGACTCTACCGTTGGAGTCGGGAAGTCATTATCATCGACCTGGAACATAAAGGGATCGACGGTGGAAACGGTAGATATAGCGGCTTCACTCTTCGTTCTCCGGTCATCATACCGGTCGTCGCGACCCGAAACATCGGAGCGAGCACTACGGCGCTCTTCTCTTCGTTTCTCGCGTTTCTCATCTTTGCCATCATCACGTCCAGACTCTCGCCGCTTCTCCCGCTTCTTCTCTCGACGTGATTCATCGCTGGAATAGCGAGAACTTTCCTTTGGCCTGTCTTTCTCTCGGCGCTTATCCTTTCGATCATCACGATCCGGACTGTCACGTTTGCCTCGGCGACGCTCATCCTTTGACTCCCTTTTGTCACTATCTCGACGCTTGAGACGATCTTCTTCGCGGATTTCGTCATCCTGATATCTGTCTTTTCGATCATCTTTTCGGTTTGAAACTATTGCAGCGCCGACTGCAGCGCCTGCGACTCCTACCAAAGCAGCCTCAGCCAATGATTTGGTCCGACTGGGTGGTGGTAGGGTTTTTTTCAATATGCCACCAGACTCGGAGCGAGCGGTATATGACGGCTCGTAAATCGCCTGAGAAACAGGAGTAAATGGTTGGGGATGTTGTAAAGGAGCGGGGCCAGGTCTGGAGCTGATATACGGTTCTGACCCTGAAGCAACCGAGCTTCTCGCAGCCTCAAATCGGGATGGGTCCGTGGTCGGGATTGGATAAACCTTTTGCAGTGATGCTTGAGAACCACTCAAACTATCGTTCTGTCCGATTGGAAAAGTGTTGCTGCGTTGTTGTCCTTGTCCTAGATCTTGTAGTTGTCCTAGATCTTGTCCTTGACCAAAATCGCTTGACGAAGTCCACGTAACATCGTCAAAACCGACAGGATGAGTTATTATGCCGTGTAGAGAATTGTTTGGACCGAAAAGTTTTGGGTCTACAACGCTACCCTTTCTGGATAGAGGCCCATGTTTCTTCTTCCCCCAACCCCATCCGTTTTCTTCGCCAAAAGCCAATCTCGAATCGACACTGAAGTCTGACTCGGCGTCCGTTGCAGATTCCCAACCTTCCTCATCAAACGTGTCTGATCCGTGAGAAATCCTAGACGCTCCAAGACCGCGACTTCCTCCATTGTTGCCGTGCGTATTTTCCTTAACAGCGTAAACCTCGGGCTTCTTCCCGTTCCGCGCATTCTTCAAATCTAATTTATTCTGGTCTCTCGCAAGCTTTGCAAGCCCTGCACCAACAGCCAGAATCTCAGCATTCGAGTTCCCGCGACGCTCGGAGCCGCTAAACCTTTCTCTATCACTGTAGGAATGCTTCTCCCTCTCACTATAGGAATGTTTCTCCCTCTCCTGGTAATATCTCCCACTCTGCCGGCTATATCTCCCACTCTCCCTATCAATTTCCTTGCCCTTCCTCGACCTAACACTTCTGGACTTATGCTTCCTCAAATAACCAGTGCCATATGCAAGATCGCTATTTACCGAGGACGAAGACGAGTTATTAAGTTTGAAGAGTCGATGGCTTCTCCGTTTGCGCAACTTGTGTTCGGATGGCGCCGTGAAGAATGCTTTAAGGCCGGATCTGGCTGGGTATGTTCGCGATATGTCGATTAACTCGTAGGAGGAGCTTGAGCTCGCGGAGGAGGAGAGGTATTCATTAGCGCCCGGGCGCATTCGTGGTGTATCGTCATATTCAGATCGGCTGGATTCTTTTCTTCTTCTGCTGGAGCCCTCGGGGCTATATCGACGCCTATCTCCCATCATTATGGTTGCAGCTATCCAAATCGCACGTGTTTCTGGTTGACCATGAGCGGTTCGGCTCGTCTCGTCGAGCTTGTTGTTTTGAGGCGAGTTTATTCGGGCACCATCAACAGAGAGCTGGGGCTGGGGCTGGCGTGAGATTTAAAGCCTTGGCAAACAAATATCTGCCACTCCTTCAGCTGAGTGTTTCGTGCATATGTATTAGATACTCGGCGAGCGCTTATCGTGCGTGAGCTTTGCAACAAAAGCTTCAACAATTTGAAGATGAGAACAATGTTCTGCAAATCTTCGTTTCCTGACCGACTAATATTTCGTTGTCAATTGTGGGGGGCTGGGTTGGCTGGACTGAGCTCCCTGCAAGTGATGGACAGGCAAGGATTTTCCACGTGATGCGCCTCATCTCATACTTTAGCAAGTTTGCTTCTTGGAGGGACTTGGTAAGAGTCTTTTAATGAAATCCCCGATATAATTACTCTATTATTGACGTTGAAGCCAATAAGTTTCAAGATTATGTGAATATAATCCTTAAATGGCGCTACTGTACAGAGATCCACAATTGAAGTGTCAAATTGTTCAACATTAATGTTCTAGCATAGTCTAAATCTTTCCTGCATTTAGTTTTCTGGTTTTCAATGATTATCTAGCTACTGGTATAGTGAATGGTGTTGCAAAGATAAAGTAGCAGGCTACACTAAACCGGTACATCACCAGCAAGCTGCCTCCAAAACCCACACCTTTCACTCAATTGCTGCACTCTCAAATTCCCAAAACCCTCCTCTTGAATAACAAACTCCTCGCCAGTCCTCCAATTTTCCGGGACACCTGGTACACTCGTATTGGTAACTTTATGCGAATTCGGATCACCTGTCTGGAAGAATGATGCAAATGCGCCGGTATAGCCTTCATATATGAAGGGATGCAACTTCTGGATCGGGTTCACTTGATTCCACTATCATCTTGTTACTTTGAGTGTTCAATGGGGAAGTGCAGGGGAAGGAAAAGGCAGACCCATTCAGTGTCACTAGCATGCTTCGCAGGGCTAATCATATACTCCCCAACATAACTCTTTTTATGGCTAGCCCTTGCCATCCAGTACGCTGGGCAAGCCAAGACGAGATCTCTATAAATGAGTCCTGCTCGCGTATATGTCGTGTTGTAGTTTAATATTCCTTCCGAGGATCCAATATCTGGGTACATATAACGAACGCGCTGGATGTTGTAGTCAGAGAAACCTGGTAGGAAGCCTCGGAGCCACGCGTTGAAAGATGCCATGCTGGAGTTGAAGAGCGGTGATCCGCTATTCTGCGTGTTTGCTAGGCCGGGTGGGATAAAATTCTCTCCTGTAAACAATATAATACATTAGGACAACCTCTCCCTAAGATAAAAAGAGATACTGACCTTCATGCGTATTATACATCCCAAACCCAAAATCAATATTCACCTCCCCTTTAATCGTCGCCTGACTTAACGACTGTGTCAAGAACTTCCCATCAATAACCGGTGCCCAAGTATAAGAACTCGTGTTATACATATGGCTTCCCGAGATCGCCAGAGCAGCCGTGCGGAGCGTCTGCACATCGGCAGCTTTCAAACACTCTAAAGATTCCGGACCAGAGCATCCCGATAAATTTGCAAAAGTATCGTAGAGATCTTGCGCTTCCGGTGCATCATATTTATACGTCTTTGGCCAATAAGGAGAAGATGCCAATGCTTTGGAGAATAATGGTGGATCCGTCTTCCCTCCATTCGCAATGACTTGAGCAACGACGCTTCCACCTCCAGCACTCTGACCCCAGATACTGACATTCTTTGGATCGCCTCCGAACTTCTCGATATACTTATTCGTCCATTGGAGGGCGGCTTGCTGATCCAGAAGCCCTGGGTTGAGATCCGAGGATGGAGATGCGCCGATTTCAGCACCTGGTAAGAGTCCAAAGGCATTGACCCGGTAATTTGGGTATACGAATATGAAATTGTTGGTAGATGAGACATTGAGTACGGGGTAGCCGGCTGGAGGGATGGAAAATGAGCCCCCGCCCTGAATGAATCCACCTCCGTAGTAAACAACGATTACTGGGCGAAGAGGCTGGGTTTTTGTCCAGGGACGGGAGTAAAGGCCCAGGTAGAGACAATCTTCTGAACCATTAACCTTGGACTCTTGTTAGCAGTATACCTTATGAAAACCCCATCTTTCTTACTGTTCTCTGTGGACACATATCAAAGCTCTGACTTGAGTCGTAGGTGCCATTCGTTATCAGGGTTGGAGGTTGAGGTCCTCTAAACCTGTTTTCACCAGTTGGAGGTGCTGCAAAAGGAATTTTTCTCCAGTAACTAATATCATATAAGGAGGAATAGCTGCCCTGGAAAGTCCCGTAGTCAAGTGAGGCAGTAAGATCTTGGCTAGATACAAGAGATAGGGAAATGAGAAGAAGTGAAAAAGAGTAGAATCCAATCATGATGATAAATGAATGAGTAGACTTCAGCTTCAATGCAATAATTATCATGAGCTCCCAATGCCTGGCATACAAGACTTATAGAATATGCCAAGTCCATCTAAAACGAGAACCAAACATCTCCACTGACAAGAATCAATAAATTTGGCGGGGTAGGAGGGCAATGGAGTAATCAATATTAACCACTAGGAATAACTATAGCACGTGTAGCTTGATATCAGCCGGACGACGCATTGGCTTTGCCATTAGATCGGGATCAAATGCCCCGAGATTTTCAGAATTATCCGAGACCCAGAATCCTGTTACTCACGGATTGAAACAATGCTGGAAAAGCAATAGTGAAGAAGTGCCTCTGAAAAGCTATCTCTTAATCGTATGTTCAACCCATAAACCCACACTTATCAAGGTATGAAACAGCAAAGGTAACATCATACACACAGAGATCCCGATTTCTGTCCATTAAATATACACCAATTGTCCTCCAAGAATGAGACAACTATCTCGAAAAGAGCAAGTGCTTTTGGTATTAGTACGGCGGTTCATTACCTCCTGTAACGTCTCGGGCCATCGACAATATGTATTTCTTCGAAAGGTTGAGGAGAAGGGGGGATATGTCGATCCATTGCTGGAAGGTCATCCTTGACATCCTCTTCCCTTCTCTCGATCATTTCCTTCATAATGATAGCCACGAGTTTGGGATTCTCCTCATAAAATGCCGAAATCTCTTCACGAAAGTTCTTCCACAACCGCGCTTGCAAAAATCCAACTCTCGCATAGACTTTCTTGAGCAGCGGGTCCATTAAGCTGACACCATCATGCAGCGTCTTACAAGATTGTAGAACTGAAGGCTGGGCTGCATCCAGACCAGCAATCTCAAAGTTGTTGATGATAAAGGCTGAGATAGCAGCCTTGAAGTCCTGCATGAGATATCTGTTGGCGCACACGTAGACGTCGATTGACAGCGAATATGCATAAGACCATGTTCGCAAATCTTCCGGTAACATTCTATCCTCGACTACGGGCTCTTCGGGTATCACTGCGTTATTTCTCGACCCACGTCGGCGATCTCGCTCTCTCTCACGCGGACGAGGAGGATAGGCTCGTGGGACAGGGTGCGGAGGAGGAGGCAAGCCATTGTTCGTGAAAAATCGATTTTGAAGAGGTGGTGGTCTTCTCGTAACACCACAATTCCAACATGGAGGCCCGATTGACTCTGTAGTGCATGATGCGCAGACACAATCGGGACGATGCCTGCCAGGTTCTTTTCGTTGTCTCTGCTCCCATACTCGCTCTTGTCGCCGACGTCGTTGATCTCTTCTTCGGCGACTTCTGGTACTGAATTCTGTCAGCTGGCATTCTGAGTTTAAACATTATACCTCGGGACAAAGAATGTGGTCTTATGAATGTTCCATGCTGTCTCCATGTATACTCTGGAGCCCAGCACCAGATGCCATTCGCACGGAGCTTGGACTAATGAGAACAGAACCTCGCAAGAGGCCAGAAAGAAACAAAACATTCTCCAAGCAACCTACCTCTCGTCACTTGCACTTCCCGCGGTGTCTGTTCCGTCCCCAGTATCCGAGTGTACATCTTCGAGATTGACCTCCTTCCCCTTGCCTTTATCAGGATCCGCAACCAAGACCGTCGCGACTGGTTTTATAGGAACAAATTTCTCTTCGTAGAGATACGAGACTACAAAGCTGAAGATAGACGGATCTTCCTCGGGTAGATCAATGGCCTGGAGAGAAGCCTCCTTGAAGTCTCCATCCAGCGCACGTCTGAAATACTCTGATTTCCTTAGGATGTCTCGATGGACGGGAAATTCTTCGGCATGGGGACCAACACGGACGGGTATTATTTTGCTCTGGTGGCGCCTATGGCTAAGTTAGAACTGTAGAAAGTTAAAAAGTATCGGGCCAACTGAAGTTGTTGGCGCAAGAGCGGGGGGTTCAAATGTAAAGTACCAATAGAACGAACGTGAAATATTAAGGAAGTGCATACCCATCATTTGTAGATAGATACAAGTCTTTCTTTGGATCCGCAGTATCTTTAACCTGAACATCTTCTTCCACGAAATCCAACACAACCACGTCTGGGGCGGGTTGCCTCATGACGCTGGAAAAAGACGTTTCCCCGCGCTCACCCCTCGTCCTTGCCATATTACTTTGACCTTATTCGTCGCAACTACGCGAACGAGGAATCGAGAATTAGAATAATAATATGAAAGAGATTGAGATAAATGCGCAAGAAGAGAGATATTTGTTGTATAATAGCCCGCTCCGAAACCCTGATCCAGGCTGCTGCTTGTGCCACCACACTCTTTTCTCCCGCCGAGGTGATGTTCTAGCTAGAGGGCCCAAGGAAACGCTTCAAGTGAGACAGCTCCCAGGCTGTGGGAAAAGGAAAAGCACGTAAGCAACGAGAATGCAGGTCACCGATAATGAGTTGGGACAGTCTTAAAAATGATAGACCTTCCTAGAAGTAAGCAATGGGCTCGGGAAGAGTCGTAATCTTCTACCGGTATGCTGCTGCATCGTCGTCGCGTGATGATAGCTGCAGTACAGTAATGGAGGTGGTGGAGAGGTGGAGAGGTGGAGAGGCTGAGAGCTGACATCCCAGCCTGATGGAGCGATTCCACCCAATGCGGAGAGCATGTGATGGTGCGCCATGTGGTCCATTGCAGCCTCGAAAGGGGTGCGTGCTGCGGCAAAAGACACTGCAGCTGCGGGTGCTCAACGAACTCTACTCCACGATATTGACAGCGCATATCCGAGCTACACGCGCTTGTATACATACGTAGGTTGGTACAAGGTACCACTGGATGATCAATGTTGATTGACATGGGACGGAAGAGGCCCAGGAGACAGGTCGAACGTGGGGGAGATAACGAAGTCTAGCGGTGTGCAACACCAGGCCAGCTTGAAGGCACTGCACTGATTTCAATAGTTTCTTGCATCTTCCCCTTCTTGTTCAAGTTTTCATGTCGTCTTGCCTTTCACTTTCCTAATTCATTAATCTGGTACTTTAAGGATGTTTTACTATATCTCTTAAACGTTTCTTAACTACGTAGGTAAACCGATTGGTATCCTTTTCTTGTCAACCATACTCTAGACCATGTGCAATTTAAGTACAGAAACGTCGCATCCAAAAGCTACGGTCCAAGAGCATTCAACTGCAATTCAATGGCTAACCCCCTTTTTGGTCTTTAAATGTCTCATTGGGTGGTGCCATCAAAAGTTTGACACTAAACGTACTGTACTTACGAAGCCCCATGCTCTGCTTCCCTTCCGATTTTGGGGGCTAGAAACTTGAGCTCTTATTTGTAGCCCCTGACAGTCCTGAGATAGGTATTCAGAGACGATAATAGCGAAAAGCCACACTAGTTCTACGACACAAAGTCAACATGGTCAACAACACTCGAAAAATATGTCTCGAAACCTCGAGGAAACAGGACTCTTCGGATTACAATTCCATATAGTCCCTCACTTAAGAAAACTTCCATTAGTCTTCGCCAGAATCTCATCATAATACCTAGATCTCAACATTAGCTCCATCCCGTCACACTCTCCCAGAAATCTCGAACAACTCACCCTTGAAAAGCCAACCAACCCTTCTCCGGCGTCCCAACCTGATTATAAGTAAACCTCGCCTCCTCCTCCCCAATAAACTTCTTCTCCCGTCCACTCCCAGCACTCGCAGCATCAACCAGCAACTGCGCATGACAAGTTTTATCCAGACTCATAAACCAAAACGCCGCTTCATCCACGCTCCCGCCCACCGTCAATAGCCCATGGTTCTGCAAGATACACGCCTTTCTATCCCCAAGACACCTCGCAATCCGTCTCCCTTCCTCGCGGTCCAGCACAACGCCGCCAAAGTTGTCGTATACGGAATGGGAGCGGAAGAACCGCAACGAGTCTTGCGTTATCATGTCGAGCTCGCGCCCGAAGACGCTGAACGCTTTGCCGTACACGGAGTGTGCATGGCACGCAGCATGGACGTCCGGACGTGCTTTGTGAACTATCACCTCATCTCATAAGCACTCCCCTCAAACCGTCCCGTCCACCAGAATTGAATCTCGACTCATACATACTCTCGGAATGAATTACGAAAGCCGCGGCATTAATAGGCTCATCGCCCTCAACCACATCTCCATCCTCGTTCACGAGAATCAGATCCGAGACGGAGATCTGAGAGAAGTGTTGCGAGAGCGGATTGAGCCAGAAGTGATCCGTTAGGATAGGATCGCGGACTGATCTATAGATAGGTAGATAAACCCCAACTTAGCCACCTACTCTTATTCTCGCCTCAAAGTTCCCGTCTCCCTTCCAAATAGCAACAAACAGTAGAACTTACATATGTCCCGCAACACCCTCATCAAATCCCCGCTCCGCGAATCTACAGTATGCATCATCAGCCCCGTCCATTGCTCCCGGAATATGTTAATTAATCAGAGTTGAAACAAACACTCTAAATGCAGCAGCCAAATGCTGCTTCCTGTACAGCCTCTCCTCCTCCAAGCTCTCGAACTGGGGATACGACCGGATCTTGAGTTTCTTTCCCGAGGTGGTTGTTCCTTTGGCGCCGACGGAGGCGTTGGATGCAGATTCCGAGGTGAGCGTGGTTGCTGTTGGTGCCATTTTGAATTATGTTCGGGTTTGGATGATATGATACTCCGGAGTAGTAGGGAGGAGACGGATATTTAACATTTATATGTTGGAGTGGTAGGGCGATTGCTGATTAGAGGTGTTGATGAATGATGCGGGGAGAAGAGTGGAGCGGCCTCCTTGTGGGTTAGAGGTGCGGGGCTACCAGGGGAGTCTACAGGTTCTGGCCGCATACTCCGCACTGAAACAATATCAAAGACTACTTTTCCACGTTTCTTTTAAGACAAGTATGTGCAATCACTTTTAGTACAATTGCAATTCAACCGCGTGAAATAAGCTCAGAGAGAATATATAATATTGGTGGCGGCGCACTGCCTTGGTCATTGACTAAAAGTTCTTACAGTGTTAAGACTAAAGGAAATGAACAGAAACCGGTATGTGAGAGATCGTCCAACAGCAGCTTATATACCACCCCCAGAGGAAATTGACCCTCATTTTCCGCATCCGCTTATGCAGACGACAGAGTACAAAATGAAAAATAGACGTTATATGGACAGCTCGCTAGTATTCCGCTTCTCTGTATCTTCCGTATGGTTGATTTCCTCCCACGTTTGGTAATGTTGGTTGATGTGGTGGGCTTCCAGACACACCCCCTAATGGTGCTGCCCCTGAAACAAGATTCTCACGGCTTCCAACGGAGAAATTAGATCGGTGTGTTGGGGGAGTGTAAGGTCGTAGAGGTGTGGATCCTGCATATGGATTTGCAGGTTCGTTCATGAACGAATCGGCGCTGTTTTGCTTCATGAGAGCATTCTTAGGGTCATGCTCATAGGCTGAATTCATTGGCACCTTGGAGGGGTCCATGAGCAGCGAGTTTCGGGCGTCGAGAGGGGTGAGATTGTCAAGGTCGCGGTTCATTTTTTCTGGGAGATGTTAGTTGTATTCTCATATTAGTGATGGAGCAGACATACCAGCTTCCTTGCGTCTCTTCCGGTGGGGGTTCTCCTTGCACATCATGATGATGGCGTTGGCAAGGATCAAGATGGCAAGCGCACCACTCAAGACTGACTGCACAGCAATAAGGACGACACCAGTGACGGTTTGAGTTGTTTGGGCAATTCCAAGCTCCTCCACGAAGACCAAAATACACACAACGGAGAGGGCGCGGACGACTTGGATGAAGATGTTGATCACATTCCCAGATCGTCTCTCGTAAGGCCGATTCCAGATGAGTAAACCAAGCACTGAGACGATATTAGCTTTTGCAAGAATCAGAAGTTAAGTTGCACTTACTCAAGCATTCAATGATCAATTGTGCAATGGTTTGCGTAAGCCCATGTCCATCGGCCGCAGCAAGAACGCATCCCTTAGCAAACATATATATGATGGCGGGGACGAAAAGCCACCAGAAGTCCTTCTTGTAGCTGTCGTAGAAGAGACTGTACTTGAGCCAGTGGGCCTTGTTATCGTAAAGTCCAGAAACATCTCCTTCCGCTTTCTTGAGTTGATTTGCTGTCCTCCAGATCATGAAGGCAAAGAAAGCAAGGACTCCGGTAAAGAGACCAAGCGTGACACCTGCTAATGTCTTGGCCGCCCATGAATCTCCGTGGGTGAACTGAAAAATACAATATAGGACCCAAACGCCGTACAATACGAGGATCAGATTAACAATTGATCGAGCCATGGTTCCCCAGTAATGTTTTCGGAATCCAATCAGACCTTTGGGGAAGGAGCCAAACAATGCCCAGATTTCAAGGATGACCTTGAAAAACAAGATACCCACAGCAATTGCCGCAATAACGCAGGCTACGATAAGGAGGACGGTCATGAAAGTATTTGCTTGAGGCACACTCAACTGCTCAACGTATGCCTGAATACCGTGTACGGTTGTCTGGATCGACGATGAATCACTCGAAGTCGCGTTAGTAGATGCATTGGCGGCATTGGTGTTGAGAGAATCGCGGATCATCAATGCTCCACTCATGAACCCGTCGAAAGATCTCTTCGAGACTGAGGAGTTCGTGCCATCCGAGTAGACGAGGGTAGCATTGCGGAGGAATTGGACACTGTCATTCGTCAAGTTTCCACCCGTTGAAGAACGGAAGTTGTCGATCGAGGTCTGCATTGCGGTCCAAGGAATGATACCACTGCTGAAAGCAAAGTTTTTGGTAAAGCTCCTGTAAACCGGTGGATAATTGACCGACATCATACCATTCATCGCAATTCCCTGAAAAACACCAATGACTTCCGTGAACGAAGGACTCATTGTTCCGGCACCCGCGGAGCTTCCGCCTGCAGCAGCAGCTCCAATAGCTGAAGCTCCAGTCACAAGAAGAGCTGCGCCGGCAATCGAAGCTGCAACATAAGATACAGCAGGTACATTGACGGTCTTTCCGTTGGTCACGTCAGACGTTAGACAAGCTACTTCATCTCCGGTGCCGAGTTCCTTCAGTTCGAGCGTAGCTTGAGCTGAAATATCAGGAACCGAGAAAGCGATGGCGGGGATCATGGATGCGTATGAAGCTGGAATGGTTTGGACTCCAGTAGCTGAGAATTCCCCAACGGGTACTGAATTGTTTGTTAGTTAGATCAAGCATTTGTTGGGCTAGCGAACAAAACATACAAGGACATAATTGCTCAACGAATGTGGTTGCATTACACGGGTTGAAGCTGTTCTGGTATACTTTCGTGCCGTATGCTGTAACATTGAGTACAGCCTTGAAAAACAGTTAGCACTTGATGAAGCTCTTGGGGGGCGCCTTTATACGTACTGTCACATTCATGGACTTGGTGCTTGTCCCGGCAACATTAAACGTTACCTGCTTCGAATCCGCATCATATTGTAGATCCACATTCTGCACTGTGATAGTTGTGTCGGCTGAACATGTGCTGAAGCCGGATGTCTTAAGGATCTGATCTGCGAGACCACTGGCCGGCAGGGTGCCCAATAACAATAAGGAAATGGTCGAAAACGTGGAAAATGGCCGTAACATCATGTTGATGTGATGATGCCTCGCAAGCTGAGATAAAATCTCCCCCCGATAGCCACCGACCCTTCAATCAAGAGGGTTATTCTTATCTCTATATGCACGCTTTGTAAACGCTGTGTTGATGAAGTTCCTGCCCTTTGTTCTGTCGACGGGGTTGGGACGGGGCCCTGCGATGATCGATATTCGTTTGTACGTTCAAGGGAAAGCAATAAAGGTATATGGTACAAGTCTGGTTTAGGATCTACCTAGAAAGAAGGGGAAATGATTGATGGTGTAGAAGTTGTCGAGATGTCGGGATATGGACGTCGTTCGAGAGAGATTAGGTACAGTCGTCGTAATAGCGAGGGAAAGAACAGGAAGGGCTGTTCAAAAAGGATTGCAATCGAGGAGTTGGCTGATTGGGTATAGACAAACGATGGTGTTGAAGGAAAGGCGCGCAAAGGCAACACGAATAACGACGTGGGCAAAGCACAAAGAGTGTGTGAGGTTGGGTTGTGAATAAAAGAAGCTGGCATCCGTACGCAAAAAGGGGAGAAGAGCAGCAGCACTGGATCACTGGACGCCGGAAAAGAGTCCAGACTACTCCAGGGGTAGGGGTTATGGCCACCAGCCAGTCGCAGTGCACCAGGGCCCACGCGAAACCACCACCATCTCAGCGCCAGCTACCGGGCGGCGCCAGGGGCACAGGAGCCACTGAATACTAGGAATATACAGAAGTCTTTCCTATTATGGCTTAAACACTGCCAGGGAAAGGGACGCGACGACAATCATTGGCTTATGGTGGAGGCAGTGCGAACCATTTAGAGGTGATGCTAGCTATATAGAGAAGCGGTACGAAGTATTTGGCTCCAGTGGGACCAACGACGGACGATCCCAGCCGTGCTCGCAGACGCGCAAATGATTCCAGTCGCTGCTGACGAGAACACGAAGTCCTGAAACCTCACCCGCCATGGCAGCTACAATGGCAGCTACAATGGCAGCTACACTGGCTGACTACTCAAGGCATAAAATCAATCAATCAATCAATCAATCAATCAATCGGCATCATCACTTGACGCGCGCACCGGAAGAGCTTCAGATGGTGGCGATGAGCTGGGTTAAGTTGCAATACGAATAGGACCAGGACCAGTCAGTGCATTCCTCTCTTGTTAAGCTTCGCGTAGAATAAAATGATGTTTGTACGGTACGTTTAGGTCAAATCCTCTGCTAGAAATTGGGCCGAAGGCAACGTTCCCCAGAACACTAGGTAGGGACTGCAGAATACGGAGTGCTGTGCTGTGCTTTGCTTTTATTATTAATTTATGCCGTCCGCGCTTCCCAACCCAGACAATTAATGCTTTGACGCTATCGAAATCGATCGATCAGATCAGACTCACAGACTCATAGCACCGAGAGGTTCGTCTTCGTCCTCCTTCACTTTACCATACGGTAATTTCGTCAAAGCTGGACCTGTATCGCTATTTCAGCCTCTTTGGCAGCGTCTTCAGGCTTCATTATTACTGTCGTTACAGCGGACGCCATACGACGTCGGCAGTACCTAGTCCTGATTCCCGGCATAAATAAAAAGGTACCATCCTGTGCCTACGCCACAGCCACCGTTCAACATTTTTGCCCCACTAACGATGGACAATATATATCTCCTAAAGTAGACAGACGAGGAACTCTAACTATATAAGATACTTGTAACTGTAAGGTACAAGTATGCCATCTACAATAGTAATCAACGCAAATGTTCGCATGAATTAGGATATAAGATCAGACAAATCTCTTGAAAAGACAGTTCTCTGTTGCGGCACAGATGCCCCTCCCCTACCGTATTTCAGTTTCTAGCCGTTTCAAAACTACGATTGATGAAGCTGGAAGCTCATCGGATACCGTTTTCAAGACTTCAATAACAAGTGTTGAATCCAAGTCCTCATTATTCATAATTGGATGCTTTCGTTGCTGACTCTGCTCTGTTCTGTCTCTATTTGTAGTGCAAATAGAATTTGACATCACGTGTGCAACATGTGACACCTCTTCGCATATGTCTAGCTCCTATTGGCTGAATCGTTTCCATCGTTCATCGCTTCGCATTGCACCTTGCGAAAATAGAGATGTCGAGGTCATCAATTATTGAGCATGCTGTCCTTATAGGATTTTAGATCTCCACGCAAAGGGAGAGGGAGACGAAGGGTTGCCATGCATCCTACTGCATTCCAATTTACCTAATTCGCCCAGTCGTTCCTCGGGTGCTTTATGGCCCGTCTTATCATAGAGGCGTTTTTATCATTTGGCCACGACCTCAGGTTTGGAAGACTGCTGCCTCGCAAATAAACCTCTACGGTTCATTGATATATGGTCAAAGTCCTTCCTACCTTACTTCCTTTCTTTGGATTCACTTCTTGTACCTTCATTTCTTTACTCTTGGTCTGCCCTTACTGCGAATATCAAATCTATGACTCGCTGCACGTGCCTTCGGATTGTGTAGAACGCATCTCTACTACCATCAATCAACCTTCATACTAAGACTTCCCAATCACAGGCAGCCTGAACATCGAATTCATTCCATACGCTGCTCGAGCAATGGATCAACCTGGCCTTTCTGCAGATGAAATGGAAAAGCCAACCATCGATGCGGGTCCAGTCGTTTTGGATTACAATGATACCTCGAAGTCCCCCAACACTGAGGTAGAGGATGAAGAGCAGAGTGAGGGTAGTCCTCCAAACTATTCTAGCAAAGCAAAGAACAAGACCTCCTTCAAGAACTACTTGGTATTGACCCTGTGTTCGCGGCCAAGAGCACTGAGCTAATGGATACGTACAGAGAGTATTTACTTATTCCACGGTAGGAGACCGACTCCTTCTAGGCGGTGCTATATTGGGAAACATAGGCTCTGGCTCAACTCTACCTTTGATGAACGTCGTCTTCGGAAATCTCCTAAATAATTTCGGCGAGTATTTCATCGCCAATACAACAGTAACAAAGGCGGAGTTCACCAAGTCTCTTAACCGGCAAACACTTTACATTGTGTACTTGTTCATTGCACGATGGGCACTGAGCTACTTCTCCATGTTTGCATTCCGAATGACGGGAATCAGAGTATCTGCCAAACTCCGGCTCGAATACCTCAAGGCGCTCTTTTCTCTCCCGATAGCAGTCATCGACACGCTCCCCAGTGGTCAAGCCTCGAATACTATTACCACGACCGCTAATGTCTTGCAGGTTGGTATCTCAGAAAAGCTCGGCATTTTCATTCAATTCTCATCCATGTTGATCACTGCTATTATCATAGCATTCAAGTTTAATGCTATTCTGACTGTAGTGACGGCCTCGAATCTCCTTTTTATTGCCCTGGTATATGGTTCGATCATCCCCGTCATACTCAAAATGACGAAGGAGGTTGAACATGCCGACGAAAAGGCTGCCTCTATTGCCGGTGAAGTTCTAGGATCGATCCGAATGATCGTAGCTTGTGGGGCAGAAGGGAGGGTGGCCAAGAAATACTCCGGATGGGTCGAAGAATCTCGCCGAAGAGGGTTGAAGATTAGCCCCCTACAAGGAGTACAATATGCGCCGCTCTTCTTCGCGGTATATGCCACAATGGCTCTTTGCTTCTGGTTCGGATTCAGGCAATTTCTTAGAGGCGATGTCAATGGTGTAGGAACAATTGTGATTGTCCTAATGTCTGTAATGTTGATCGCTTTTTCAGTCGGTGAGTTCCCCTATATAGATCACAGACTTTTACTCACCAAGACTACAAGCCCAAACTGCCGCTCCGATAATGGCAATTGGAAAGGCGGCCAGCGCTGCTGCGGATTTCTTTGCTGTTATTGACGCACCCAAACCTTCTATTATCGGGTTAAAAGAGCCAGAGATCTCAGCTCGTGACGATATTGAACTCGAATCAGTCAACTTTGCCTATCCCAGCCGACCGCATAGCAAGGTCCTTAATGATCTTAGTGTTCGATTCGAATCAGGAAAACTGACCGCCATAGTGGGAGCCTCCGGATCAGGCAAGAGTACGATCGTTGGTCTACTTGAACGGTGGTACGAGCTTAATGATGCGAAGATATTTGTTCTCCCGGAAAGTGCAATGAAGGATGACAAAGAAAAGGCTAAGGAGAAAGAAAAGGAGAAAGAGAAGAAGAAAAAGGGGGAGTCAGCACCAAAAAATATTGTGCCCCTCGAGCCACCAGTCACGCTTAGTGGCAAGATCCTCATTGGAGGTAAGAATCTAGATGACGTTGACCTGAAGTGGTGGAGATCTCAGATTGGCCTTGTACAACAAGAGCCATTCATTTTCAATGATACTATCTATAGGAATGTGGAATATGGATTGATCGGCTCTCAGTGGGAAAACGACAGTGATGACACTAAGAAGACGCTTGTCGAGCAGGCTTGCAAGGAGGCGTTTGCGGACGAGTTCATCATAAAACTTCCCTTGGTGAGCGGCTTGTTTCTTAAAAGTAACTCTCAATACTGTGCTAAGACTTAAGAGGCCTACGAAACCCGAGTTGGTGATGCTGGAATCAAGCTATCTGGTGGCCAGAGACAGAGACTAGCAATTGCCCGCAGCATCGTAAAGCGACCTAAGATTCTGATCTTGGATGAAGCGACGAGCTCAATAGATGTACGTGGTGAACGACTAGTTCAGGCAGCTCTTGACCGAGCCTCTGAGGGTCGAACAACCATAACAATTGCTCACCGCCTGTCGACGATTAAGAAGGCGGACAAGATTCTGGTGATGAAAAAAGTAAGTGATGCTAACTCCGCCCTTTAATTATCACTGGCTTAAGCTTCTTGAGTGTATACCAAACTCAAGGACATTCGCCTCCAGCTATCTCTGACTATTTGATCACTAACTAAGTTTCCGTTCTTCCAGGGCCAAGTCATCGAGCAAGGTACCCACGAGAGTCTTTTATCCAATGAAGATGGGTCTTATTGGGCTTTGGTCAATGCGCAAAAGCTGTCAATGGGCGAAACGTTTGCTGACGAGACCGACTTGATTGAGAGCACAAAGATGGAGCACGAACTCGTCCGTGAGATGAGTGCCGCCAGCGGAATGAAAGATGCCGAGGAAAAGGTGATTTGGAAGAACAAGGGTTTCTTTGCAAGCTTCGGGCTTCTCATGGCTGAACAGACGACTCATTGGCCTTGGTATCTTATCTTATCAATTGGGTGTATGGGTGCTGCAGGTAAGTTGACGGTGATTTACCTTCCATCACCTCATGAATAGCTTTTAGGTGCTGACCCAATCAGCGGGCAACCCCATCCAGGCGTACTTATTTGCCCATATAATCAACGTTATTACGTACACGGGCGAAGCACTATCAAAGGCCAGCAGTTATTGGGCTCTCAGATTCTTCATTCTCGCATTAGGCACTCTGGTTGCGTATTTCACCCTCGGGTGGTCTTCCAATACGATTTCGGTTGTAAGTACATCTCCACAGTAGCGTATGGTCAATACACTAATGTCTCGTAGCATATTGCTTGCACGTATCGCCAGCAATATTTTGAAAGCATCCTTGACAAGCAAATCCCATTCTTTGATGCGGAAGAGAACTCAAGTGGCACTCTCACTGCTCGTGTTGCAAATGATCCTACACAGCTACAGCAGCTTCTTGGGATTAACATGGCTATGGTGTACATTGCAATTATGAGTATGGTTGGTTGTGTCATAATAGGATTTTATTTTGGCTGGAAGTGAGTAATTGTCTTGGGGATGGTTCTATCTCCAAAAAAATACTTTAGAATTCCTCATCATCCCAAAATAGCATCGCTGACATAATGCAGGTTGACCCTTCTGGCTGTATGTGTAGCAATGCCTATCATAATAACAGGTGCCTACTTTCGCCTCCGTTACGAACTCGAGTTTGAAAAGATGAATCAGGAAGTCTTTGCAGAAAGCTCCAAATTCGGAGCCGAAGCTATTAGCGCCTTCCGAACTGTCACGTCTTTGACATTGGAAGACATGATATCTCAACGATACGAGACTTTACTACAAGATCACGTTCGTAAGGCCTTCAAAAAGGCAAGATATACAACGCTGTTATTTTCTTTCTGCGACAGTATTTCTCTTCTCTGCATGGCTTTGACCTTCTGGTACGGTGTAAGTGCTCTCAATTTCAACCACCGCCCGAGAAGATCACTAATAATTGTTTCAGGGTAAACTTCTGGCGAGCTACGAATATAATGCCATCCAGTTTTTCATCGTCTATATCGCGATCGTTAACGGCTCGGATGGCGTAGGCTCCTTGTTGAGTTTTGGTCCAAACATGGCACAAGCATCCGCGGCAGCAAATAGGATCTTGAGCTTCAGGATTCGCAACACGGATAATACCAAAGCAGCTCTCGAACTCCCAGATGCCGAAGGTGGTGTAAAGATCGAGCTTCGAGATCTATGGTTCAAGTACCCAACTCGCGACATTCCTATCTTCCAAGGTCTGAACTTGACGGTAAGACACCCGCCTCCCCTCTCTCTACCAAGCTAATCCAGCCATCAGATTCAAAAGGGTCAATTTGCCGCTCTCGTGGGTCCATCGGGCTGTGGCAAAACCAGCATCGTCTCGCTACTAGAACGCTTCTATCCTGTCCAGAAAGGAAAGATAATCTGCAACGAAACGAACATCACAGAACTCAACATGCGCGAGTACCGCAAGAACATTTCTCTGGTGGCACAAGAACCTACACTCTTCCAAGGGACCATCAAAGAGAACATATTGCTTGGTGTTGACGAGAACGCCCCTATAGAAAGGCTGCACCAAGCTTGTCGCGACGCCGAGATCCACGACTTCATCTCGTCACTGCCAGAAGGATATAGCACTGACGTAGGGACTAGAGGTATAGCCTTGAGCGGGGGGCAGAAACAACGTATAGCCATTGCACGTGCTCTGATCCGTGATCCGAAGATCCTGTTACTAGATGAAGCGACGAGTTCCCTGGACTCCGAGAGCGAGAAGCTGGTTCAAGCTGCATTTGAGCGGGCAGGGAAGGGTAGGACTATGGTGGTTGTTGCGCATAGGCTAGCCACTGTACAGAACGCCGATGTGATTTTCGTGCTGGGCGAGGGCAAAGTGTTGGAGACGGGGAACCATAATGATCTGTTGAAGAAAAGGGGTGTCTATTATCAGATGGTAAGTCTGGTCTTTTCCTCTGCTTACTTTTGGTATCAATCGCTGACTATGGAATTCAGTGTCAATCTCAAGCGCTCGATCGATAGAAATGGCTATTTTCAGAGAGGAACTCGCTGGCACGCCAACTGAGCTCCGCTTCTTGTACCATCAGAAAACAACTCAGTGCCTAGTTATGCTGTACTAAATAAAAGACTTAATAGAACAATACTTCTCTATCGGATGCTCCCTCCTACTCCCCCACCCCTTACCATTAGTATAACTATTTCAAAAATCAATTTAGAAACGGTATTGCATCACAGTATCGGGGCAAAGGAAAGTAAAGTAAACGTTGGAAGGATATCCTCTTCCCTTCCCTTCCTTCCCGACTTCAACATATCGACTCAACTCACAACTGAATCGAAAGCATGAATCCCAATATAATCGTAGTATGAAACAGCATACCCCTGCTTTGCCAGTCCCTAGGATAAGTAGGATAGTGGAAATGAGACTCTAAGCCATCTAGTTGGATGAAGTTGGATGAAGATGGTGCAATAAGAAACTGCGTGCGACTCAGGCCTTGCTTGCCCCCCTACTTTCATAAACTGCTCACATATCGGAGCTCACGACGCAATCGTGATAAACTAATGGAACATATATAGTTAATGTAGTCAGTTCTATAGATCTCACATTTGCTACACTGTGCTATGTTATGTATGCTATGGTATGGTATATAAATCCGCTCCAGGGCAGCAACCAGTGACCAGCTGTATATACAGCGCTTGTTTTTAGATAAAGTATACAAATTCAGCCCACTAATCCCAAGGTATCCATCCTAAACGCCAACCTATGCAATGCAATGCCGCTTTGAAGAAAAAAAAAAACCATCTCTCGACCGTTCTGGGAGAAAATCTTGACTCAAAAAAAATATATGCAACGAATGTGTAGTGTGGTAACATCACCACGAAACTCCTCTCCAATCGAAATCTCCATCGATGTTCACGAATCCTTCCTCTTCAATCGCCTTTTCCCATCCCATCATCACTGCCAGCAGCTTACAGCCCGTTGCACTCACAGTGCAGACTACTTTGTCTGTCCCTTGGCCTAGGACTGCGAGGTCCATGAGGTACGCTCGTCCGACCAACTCTCTCAATCGAAGTGCTTCTTGGGTAGGCGGTAATTTCGTGTCTGGTGTCTCGGCTGCAGTGGCGGGGACACTGCTAGGTTTCCCCAAGCTCCAGAACATACCCGCGAAGAAACCGCCTTCCCACCCCACCGACTCATCAACGAAGTTCCTCATACCTGTCATTGCGCTAGGCTTGGGGGCTTCCAGGTGTTGCTTGGCAGCGAGACGGATCTGCTCCTGTGCGCGGGCGACGTGTGAGAATTCTTCCGACTCGTAAACTTCTGGGTCATCGGACGCGAGGACCATGTGGCTGTGCTCTACTGCCAGCGTGTCTAGACCACCGTGAGGACCGGTCTTATTGAACGTCCGATGCATGAGCTCGCGTGCTCTGTCGCCATAGCGATCGAGAGGCACGTAGCTGTCTCTATACTGGAATTCGTACGGACGCCGGTCGCCGTGGCGGACGTGGACGCCTATAAGTATCCCGTCTTCCGCCTCCTCCTCTGGTACGCGGGTCATGGAACGGAGTTCTTCAATACGTTTGTTGACACTTTCTTCATCCTCGTTCGAGAGTTGGAAGAGTGCTTCGTAGCCCTGTCGTGCGAACTCGAACATGGGCTTTTGTCGATAGACTTCCATCTTTCTGGGATCCTCATAGTACTCATTGAAGGCCCCGCCAAACATATAAGACGCAGTAGCTGCTGTGGCAACGAGATGACGGGCGTGATGTGGACATGGCAACATCTCGTGACGAGGTGGCGGTCTACAATTTGGGATTGGCGGAGACTTGAAGAACTTGTTGAAACTGCCGTATGCCCTAATCATGTTAGCAAAGTCCTGGATACAGTCAAACTAGAACTCACCATCTAGAGTCATCGACAAAGAAGCTTCGTCCTTCGTTTTGCGCCAAACCATAGGCAGTCCATAACATCATCAAAGTCTTGCCCAATCCAGCATCATGAGTCTCCATCACGAATGTCATGCTCTTCTCGCAAACCTCCATCTCAATCAACCCATCCGTGTTCTCCTCCCCAACCAATTGCTGTTGTTTCATGTTCGTCTTTGCTTTCGGTCCAGGTAGGAGTCCATGAGCTTCCGCATCCGCAACCTCCATAAAATTCGGGTCCACGTGATAATAACCGTAATGAGCAACCTGTTCTCGATGCATATGGCTATGCAAGTCCGCAACATGCCTCGCAACCTCCATATTCTGCATACATATCTCCGCATACTGCTTCGGCTCCAAGGGGAACTCATGATCTGGCGGTATCGAGACTGTCCATTTCGCCCTTCCTCGCTTGTCTTCAATCACTACTGGTGTTGGAAAGTCTGGTAACTCGGATTCCCCCACCATCTCATATTGATCCGCGCCATTCGTCGTCCATCCTACTGCATTCGCTGGGCTTGTACCCGATAATATGGAGAAACCATAAGATAATATCACCAACACTCCAATAGTCCACAGTGCTGCCCGTAAGAACTTCCGGGGGTTGAATTTTGGTATAGGCTTCCCATGTCTTGGTACTAGGGCGGGGAGGCTTGGCGAAGGAGGCGGAGAGTTGATGAGATGGTTGAAACTGAACCGTGAGGATGTCGAGGACAAGGGCCCCTTTTCCATGGAATTGTATGAGGCAGCCCTTCGAAGACTTATCCTCGGGGAGTTCCTGGATGAGAGAATCATGTCGGAGTGTGTATACGTCTTGGTGAGATCTAGTGTGGGCGGCATCGGTAGTATTGTGGCGCCGCAAGTAAAAAGAAGAATATAAGTATTCTAGAAGCGAAGTGAAATGGGTTGAGATCAAGCCTTTAGATGCTGTGCCGTTTGTGCCTGCACGGGAGGATCAGTGATCCTTGGTTCAGCATCCATACACTTAGAGCCTCGAAGAGAGGACCGGCCGTTTGTATGTACGGATCGAAGTGGTCGAGGACGGACCAGCAAACGTGCGTACAAAAGAAGTCAAGTACGGTAAGTTGAAATATGAAGAAGATGTAGTAGAGAGGGATGTACGGTAGATGTAAAGAGTACGGTACTCCGCGTAAGCTGTTCGATAGAGATTAAAAATATGAACTCTGGGACAGATGCGAGCGCTTGGCAGCCGGAATAGTCGACTGTGGGGAAGGGATTCGCTCAAACAACAGCGCCGCGTTGATCGCAATGCAAAGACACAAATGACGTCGGGGAAAGCCAATCTTGGGCGTCGAGTGGACCGGAGGATCTGTCGTAGACATAAAGTAAGAAGGGACGAGGATATATGATTGGGCTGTACTGTGAGTTCGGCTGCGCACGATCTACATGTCACAAGAAGGGAAGGAAGGGGCGGACACAAGACAAGGAAGACAGGGTGGACCAGCAGCAGAGATTGTCGTTTGGAGTGACCAGGGTTGTAGGGTAGGGTAGGGTAGGGTAGGTAAGGTAAGGTAAGGTAAGTAAGTAAGGA